GACTCCCCAAAATGGGTGGAGAGGGGAAAGGGATATACTCTCCCTTCCATACTTCAGCCAGCAGGGCTTGCTGCATGTGAGGGTGAGAGAGCAAGTTGCACTCTTTCAAAAGGTGATTCAGTGGCCATGTTCTTCCTGCTGTGCTGAAGGCACGATGCCAGCTCAGGCACAATGTTCCTGGGTCCTCACTGCCCGCCACCCCCACTTAGCTAGTGGCACTAGGGTCACAATCTGTCTCTGTGTTGACTTTGACCTATGTTTTATCATGAAGCTTCACCATTTTAGGAAAGTTTTGTCCATTCCAAATCACTTTAGTGTTTCCATCCTGTAGGCTTAGACCAACTTACTGACAGCTTTCTCAGCATCATGGGATGCAATCCATGCCTCTTGCGAGAGCTGGCTCACAGGTGATAGGACATTTAATAGTCTCCTAATATTAGTCATGGTTAAATCTACTGGGCCTGAAGCCTCTTTGGCCACTCTGGATTCACCGAGTAACTTTTTTTAAATCTGTGGACCAATCTTTTGTTAAGATTTTAAAGTTTCTCTTTAGCAATGAGATTACATCCACACTCCATGGAGCTTTTCCCTTTATTTTAGTATTAAGGATATATGGGTCATTGATGTAATGGGTTCTGATATTGATCCTGATTTCAGAAGTTGGTTAAATAAGTTTAGCATATATTCAGACAGCTGAGGGGTTAGGTTTTATAGTATTCTACCAAGAATCAGTGAGGATTGGGACTCACTATTAGGAAGGTTTTCAAAGCCCTCAACAGTTCCTCTTTTATAAATGTTTGGCCTAATTCGTTAGCTAGGATCAGAGAGAGGACAGGTAACAAATGAAGAATTTTTGAAATACGCTTGAGTCATATTCTGCCTCTGAAATGAAGCATCTAGATACTATGATGATTGGCATGCTGTAAATACGATAGATAGATAGATAGATAGATAGATGGATCAGTAATAGGCAAAAAATCCCCCTGCTGTATGTGTAGAATCATTTGTGATATCTCTTACAGAAGCCCTTTACATGGTTGGGTTAGCAGAACATTCATTATTGCATGTTAGGAAGCAAGCTAATAGTTTGTTGATGGCACGGTATGAATGAGTTTTGAAAACATGGCTGAATTCTGACATGTTCAGGAGTCAGAGAGTTTTGGTAGGATGGGACAGTGTCTTCCTGCTTATGGGTACAAATAAGGCAACAAACTGCTATGTTTCAAAATTATACTCATATATATTAATGTTCTGATTTTTAAAGGGACTGAGCTCTGCAGCTCCAAAAGCTGTTGTGAGATTGTGCTCTGCACTTCTGAAAATCAGGCCATAATATCTTAATGGGCGTCTCACATTGCCTTTTACTATGGCTACACCCCATCCTGAGAAAGGCACTAATATGGCTACTGCCTACTTGGGAAGTTGTCATGTCTATGTCTGTCATGCCCAATACATACACATGTACATTCCTGTTCCTTTCATTTCTCAGGTGGCTTCAAGTCACTCTGGTCTGGCCTTGAGCCTTATAATTAGAACCCCGCCTCCCCCAAAGTTCAGATCAGATAAAAAAACATGGGTGTCCAGAGCCATGCTTTTGCTTTGGGCCCATCTCTATTTAGAAAACTACCTTGGCATACTGAACTCACCCAGAAATGCACTGCCACTTTGTTGTTTAAATATTGCACTTTTTTTTTCATTAGAGAAACTTTACAGAGTGGAGAGTGGCAAAGGAGTTAGACCCTTCCGCCCAGACCTGATCCTAGAGACTGCAGGAGAAGGGGAGCTGGAAGTAAGCCTACACTAAAGGAAAAGAGGAAATGCATCTAGCCAGGCCAGAGATGGCTGGTGTGGGAGGATGAAGGCTATACACACTGTATGTTCCAATGCTGTGGCCTTTCAGGAAGAAAAAATGTCCCATAATTAACATCAGTGCAGTGAAATGTAATTCACTGGACTTCTTTCCTCCTCACTCCAGTGCCCACAGCACAGCATTTCCTTCTTCTGCACCTGGTGGCTTCCAACAACTACAACATGTGTTAAGGGTGGGTCTTTCTGAATTCACATGGTGTCCAGTGGGAGGCGTTTGCCAATCCACTGGAAAAGAAAAAAAAAAAAAAAAGCAAACAAATCACAGGATATTTTCCCCACTTTTAGAATTATTATTTTTTTATTGCATTAAATTTTTGATGGGACGTATGGGACAAAGAAGACCCCTTTTTCATTTTAAGTAACACATGTATGTTTAGTATGGCACAAGTGTCTGTTCGTCCTGACCAGATGCATCAAGGGGAGGGAGTTTTACCCTTGTCTGAAGCATCAGCTATTAGCCAATTCTGCAGGTGGGATAACTGGGCTAAGTGATTAATCATCTGATTCTACATGACAAGAGCCCAGATACTGGACTTCATTAATGGATCGTCTGATCCAGTGTGGCAAATCCTATATTCTTAAGTGGAGTGATTTATGGGGTCTATGTAACTATTTGGGAAAGGGCTACTCTTATCTTTTGACAACACTTTCAAACAGTAGTACAGTATTAATTTCTATATTACAGTAGTATGTCTTTAAAAATGTTGATATTATTAAACCACAATAATCATTAAGCACTAGAGTAGATATCTCAGAGGACTGGTAACAGCATGACTTTTTATCTCTGAGTCACCAGTTCCAGCCAGGACCCAAGCTCAGGGAATTGGGGATGGAATTACTAAGGCTTTCACTTCTAGGTCAATAATTACAGTCTGGTACCAGGTTGGGGGATTGGATCCTTTCACTTGGCTTTCATTTATGGACCACTGATTCAAATTCTGTTCAGGTTGGTAGTCATTACTGAATGTCAGTATCATCTGGCTGCTGACCAGTGGCTAACGTGAAGTGAGTGTTGCTGTAAGGTGCCTATAGTGAATTCCCTGGTCACAGATTAATAACAATTGGTCACATTTTAATAAGTTACTGGCCAAGAGGGATGGGAAAGGAATTCCACATTGACTAGTGAACAGATCCTGGTCTTGCTGTTTAACCCTATTACCATTCTTTGCAACTACTCACCTGAATTTCCCCGGGGTTGTACATTCTCAGGTGTATATGCTTGTAAAAAGTTGCTGGGAGGAAGATCCAGAGAAAAGGCCTGACTTTAAGAAAATTGAGAGCACTCTGGCTAAAATATTCAGGTAAGCACTGTGTTCCAAACTCCCAGCTACTTGAAAGCTGATAGTTATAGGTGTGTATTCTGATGCAACATGACTCAATCAGTGGAAAAACAGAGCTCACTGACTGGGGCAGGTGTGGGTGTGTGAGAGAGATGATCACCCAGAGCCCAAATTATTACATTGTGTAAATAGGGACTACCCAAGTGTCCGATAATGGGTCATGATGTCCAGGTTTCAGGAAATTACTGCAGTTGGATATTCTGGGGATGAGATGATTAAAAAGTTTAGGTCACTTGTTTTGGTGATATTAATGGATTCAGATGACCACAAAGTGAGGTGATTGAAAAGATCAGGTTACCCAGAGTAAGGTAATTATAGGTTTTGAGTGAAATGAGTTCCCTGTCATACTTTTTCTAATCTAGTTATTTAAAAGTCCCAAGCAATGGGTTTTCAGCCACTTCCCTTCAGAGACTATTAAACCTATCCCCATAAGTCTGTCCCACCAGCCACATGCTTATATTTTTGTTGCTCTTCTCTGAACTTCTTCCAGATTGTCATTATTGTTCTGATAATGTGGTGTCTGTAACTGAACACAACATTCCAGATGAGGTCACACCAAAGAAGTGCAGAAAAATAGTTAGATTCACCTCCAGGGGCATGGAGGAACACACAATTCATGCCCAACAACTGCAGCGGCAGCTGCATTAGAAGGGGGCTTACCCCAGGGGAGGGTAGTTGGTTCCACTGTCACCTTAATATGGATGTTTTGCTTGGGGAAAAGGCAGTTTTAAAATCCAACCAGGGCTCCATCAGAATCCGAATTATTGGATCTTCAAGTCATCTTGGCCCCATCCATTTCATAGGCTGCATCTGCTAGCTCAGGACCCCAAGTGAAGCAGAGATTATGACTGGCTTGTGCTATATCATCTCTGCTTCTGGCAGATGGTCCATTGATGGGAGTCTTCAGTCCAGGTCCCACCAGTGGAAACCAGCAGATCTCAATGAGTGAATGTGACCCACAGCCTGTTACTTCCCCGTTTGGTGATAAGATGCCATTGCAAAGGCAGCCCAAAATTGCATTGGCTTTTTTGGTGCTATATCCCACTGCAAATTCATATCTAATTTGCTGCCTCTTATCACCTCTAGCTCCTTCTCAGGATTCTTGCTTTCCATGGTACTCTCTCCCATTGAATATTTGTGTCTCCGGTTATTTTAAGTGACCTGAAACTGTGGAGATTAGCAGGGCCAGGAAAACTGGGGCTCAGAAAATTAGCAAGACAGGGTTATCTGGGTGGGCCTCAGGCCTTTATGCCTTAAGAATAAGACCTTTGCTAAGAGGTGAAATTATGAGCTTTGAGCAATTTCCATTCTAACTGCAAGTGTCAAGGCTCCTTCCCCACTCTGAACTTTAGGGTACAGATGTGGGGGCCTGCATGAAAACTTCTAAGCTTAACTACCAGCTTAGATCTGGTCCGCTGCCACCACTCCCAATGTGCTAATTCCCTTCCCTGGGTAGCCTTGAGAGACTCTTCACCAATTCCCTGGTGAATACAGATCCAAACCCCTTGGATCTTAAAACAAGGAGAAATTAACCATCCCCCCTCCTCTCTCCCACCAACTCCTGGTGGATCAAGATCCAACCCCCTTGGATCTAAAAAACAGGGAAAATCAATCAGGTTCTTAAAAAGAAGGCTTTTAATTTAAAGAAAAAGGTAAAAAATCATCTCTGTAAAATCAGGATGGAAAATAACTTTACAGGGTAATCAAACTTGAAGAGCCCAGAGGACCCCCCTCTAGCCTTAGGTTCAAAGTTACAGCAAACAGAGGTAAACACCCTAGTAAAAGGTACATTTACAAGTTGAGAAAACAAAGATAAAACTACCACGCCTTGCCTGGCTGTACTTACAAGTTTGAAATATGAGAGACTTGTTCAGAAAGATTTGGAGAGCCTGGATTGATGTCTGGTCCCTCTTAGTCTCAAGAGCGAACTCTCTCCAAAAGCAAAGAGCACAAACAAAAGCCTTCCCCCCACCAAGATTTGAAAGTATCTTGTCCCCTTATTGGTCCTTTGGGTCAGGTGTCAGCCAGGTTACCTGAGCTTCTTAACCCTTTACAGGTAAAAGGATTTTGGAGTCTCTGGCCAGGAGGGATTTTATAGTATTGTACACAGGAGGGCTGTTACCCTTCCCTTTATAGTTATGACAGCAAGGAAGCCACACTCTGAAATAACCTTCTGTATTTGCCCTTGTCCTGCCAATGTGCTTTCTTCATCCTTTTCCCAACCACTGTTTCCAGTAACTACCATAGTCAGACCAATGAAAACTACATGGATACCTTGATCCGGCGTCTGCAGCTGTATTCCCGGAACCTAGAGCATCTGGTAGAGGAGAGGACGGAGCTATACAAGGCAGAAAGGGACAGAGCGGACAGGCTTAATTTCATGCTGCTCCCACGGTGAGTGTTGACCAGCAGGGGTTTCCATGCAGTAGGAAGCGTTCAGTATTGACTGTGAGGCCCACTGGTGTGTAATGCATCAGAATCATTGTGGGAGGCTCCAACCACAGTGAGCATGAAGGCGTGAATAATATTTGCTCCACAGAATAAATTGTAACAGTTCACAGTGCTTGCCTCCAGAGATCCAGGTCAGACAAAATGGGCTAAATTATTCTGTGAGTTATAACAAGTGACTAAAAGCAGAATTTGGCCCATTTTCATTCTTTTTTGCCTCTGATTGGCATTATCACCTTTCAAATTGGCTGTAGAACGGAGGTCTGAACTTGTAAGGTGATTAAAGATCCCATGTCTTTACCATTTAGCCTTTACTGACTGTTAACCCACATTAGGACAGTCCTCTCCTCTTGGGGTGATGGATTTGGTTTGGTTCCGCAGGACTCTGATTGAAAATACTGTTTTGCCAGCAGATCATAATATTCGTGGCCTGGTTGAACTTTATAATGATTTTTTTGTCCACAGCTATTAATACAGTTTCCCCAACATGCTCTTTCATACAGTTTTTTCATCTCCTACGCTGCCATGGTTTACAGATGACTTGCAAGAGGGGAGCAAGTGGGGTGACTGCTAGAGCACTTCAGGAGGAAGTTTTGTGCGAATTAAACTAACTGGAACATTAAGAACTTTTACAGTTTTATGATGCCATGGCTGTGCAGGAGGCAAAGAAAGATTTGTTTGTGGAAAGCTAGCTGAGAGCTAGCTGGCTGAAGCATCATAGACATAAGATTGAAGTTGAGGTTGAGTGGGTTGAGGGAAACTATCAAAAGAATTTGCAAAGATTATATCAGATCCCCAGATGGAGGGACAGCCATTTATGGAAAATGTTGGTAATATGGGTGTTTTGTTAGACTGACGACTGCTCCAGGGTGCTTTGCTAGAAGCTATAGCCAAGAGTCTTGTATCTGGTGAGATGAATAGGACAGTTTCTTTCAGATGCAGGCAGACCTCACCACCATTGTTCATGCTTCTGTCACTTTCAGCCTAGACTACTCTAATGAGCCATACAGGGAGCTACATCTTGATATCACTTGGAAAACTGAAGCTGGTGCAGAATGCAGTTGCCTGCTTAGTGAGTGGAATTTCACATTAAGAGCACATAATGCTGGTGCTCTGGGATCTGCACTGGCTGCCTGTTGGTATCCAAGTGGAGTTGAAGGGTTGGGTTTCACCTATAAAGTACTAAATAGTTTGGGACTTGGTTGCCCATGAGACCACCTCTCTCCCTAAACTGTACTGCTGCAATTGTGGTCAACAGAAGACCTTGTTACAGAAGAAATGGGGCTGTCAACAGGTCATTCTCTGTGAAGTCTGATCTGCTCTGGATCATGCTTCTCACCTGGTCTGCCAGATCAGCTAGCTTTCCAGAGAAGCTATGTCACAGCTTGCCAGGAGCAAGGCATCTTGTGCCGTATGCCTTTGCTAGATGAGTAACAGTTAGTTGAAATTAATTTAAAGAAATGGCCACCTGGGTTTTTAAACTCTCAATAAAAATGAAGAGTTTGTTGCATGATTAAACTGAAGGTGAGGTCAAATTGTGAGCCCCTGACCTGGTCATGGATGGTTTGGGTTAACACTGGGGAGCTGCTCTCCTGCTCCAGCTTCCCCACATGCTCCCTCTTAGCAGAAGCAGACAGGTGAGTCTGATTGTTGACTGCCTCCTCGGGGCTCTTCTAACTACTGAAGGACCAAGTCTTATTGGTTCTGCCAGTACCAGAGCCTGAGTGGCTTCTCTAAGCCGTGCTCAGAGATCTGCGCTCATGGCCCCTCTTTCCCAGGTGACACTCTGCCTTTGGGCAGATTTGTCAGGGTGGTGATGCATTCAGCACGGGGGCAGGGAAGGCCTGGTATACCCCATCACATGCTACAAGGTCCATTTGTAGATGAGGTGGATGGAAAAAGTGAGAGCAATGTAATTTATGCTTGTATTTGATATTGTGATTTTAATTTGTTGTGAGGACACTCAGAGCTTTAAATGTGTGTCTGTTGGTATTAGAGTTATAAATCAAAGTACATTCATAAACATAACTGAATGTCACTGTTTACATGAATGGGGATGGGGTCAGTGTTGGTGGTCCTAACAAATTCCAAATTGGAGAATTATATTCTGCTAATCTAAAATCAGCCTGCTGTTTCATTTGGAGAAAGTCTTTGTTCTTTCTAAAATGGAAGCATTGTTTTTCTTATCTGCTACTAATGAGTTGCCATATTCTGTCCCAGAAATTATTGTATTTCAGTTAGGGTGACCAGATGTCCCGATTTTATAGGGACAGTCCCGATTTTTGGGTCTTTTTCTTACATAGGCTCCTATTACCCCCCACCCCATCCTGCTTTTTCACACTTGCTGTCTAGTCACCCTAATTTCAGTAGTGGATGAAATAATCCTTATACCCACAGTGTGTAAAGTGCTTTGGGATCCTCCAAGATGAATGATTCTAGAAAAACATCAAATTATTATCATAAAAGTCGTCTACCATTTTGAAAGTTCTCACTTGCAGTTTATTTACAGATATTCTCTATCTTTTAGAAGATGGAGGTTATCCTAACACTGATCCTGTATTTCTTTGAATCAGAGAATCAAAGGCTGCTTCCACCTCTCCTCTGTTCTATTTCCCCCATTCACCCAGCTCAGCAGATGGTAAATTTGCAGGGCTTCCAGTTCCCTCTGCACTCTACTCTTTCTGATTCCCCATACAGGATATTTGGGGAAAATGTATAGCAGAGAGGGAAAATGTGACATTGTTTGCACAGACAGAGATTCAAAGTTTCGACAGAGTTTGTCAGCTACCTAGGAACTGCTCTGACTGGCCAGTGCCCAGGAAGTCCCTGTCTAAGGCCCCAATTCAGCGCATCACTTAAGCACATGGTTAAAGTTAAAATTATTTGCTAAATCAGAGCCTGAACTAGGAAGTATCTGCAGAGACTCAAAGCCCCCCACTCCCGCTCTGATCTAAAATTAAAATACTTAATAATTTAAAAGATGGGAGAAAAAAATCCAGGCTTGGTCTACACTTAAAAGTTAGGTTGACATAGCTACATCAGTCAGGAGTGGTGAAAAAACCACCCCCGTGACCGACATAGCTATGATGACCTAATCCTCAGTGTTGACACAGCTATGTTGATGGAAGAATACCATTGTTTAGGGAACTGGTATTCCTACACCAACAGAAAATCCCCTTCAGTTGGTGGAGGCTGCATCTACGCTACAGGGTTATGCCGGCATAGCTATGGCTATTTAACTATGCCGGTATAGTCTCCGTAGTGTAGTCCTATCCCAATTTCTTATCTGTAAAGTGTGGTTGAGTGGAGAAGGGTGGTATTGTGGCAAGCCCTTTCTGATTCACCTGTAGTTAAGATTTGTAACTGAAGTATTTAAATTTGTCTTGCAATAGATGAGCACTTTCTAGCTTATGCATGTCTCAGCATGACCAATAAAATAACTGATCTATTTGAATGCTAATGATGTTTAAGAGGGTGGTTTGCCTAGAACTGGCCAAACCTGTCCTCAGTGTATCTAGGTGTCACATCTGAAAGACTTACAGGAGGATGCTAGAGGGAGACCTGTAGGTGCCATGTGCGAACAGAGGGCTAAACAACCTGGAGATAATTTGAAACATCATGAATTCCCAGACTTCATGTAATCATTATACATGATGATGGACAAACTGATTGAAAAGCTAGCTTGAGGATGGAATGAGGTCCTTGGGAGTACAGTGAACAATCATTTCACAACATGAATTTAATACCTATTTTTAAGATGACTTTTCAGTTAATTAGGTGACATAACCAGTGAATTTTGAATGTAGTGTTTACATATCTTTAGCTCCTTTCATCCTGAAGGATCCTGAAGTTTTTTACAAGCTTTACAAATGATATATATGGGAATCAATTTACCTTCTACAGAAATGCAACCACCTCTGTGGTGGCATATGGCAGCAGTTTCAACAGCAAACAACACCACTAAGGTCTTGTCTACATAGGGAATTTAGTGTGGAGTAAACTAGGGTGTGAATTTAAAGCACACTCTCTATTTTGCTCCCCATGTAGACACTCTTATTTTGCACTAAAATGGTCTTTGTGTGCTTTAGTTTAATATACTTCCAAAGCTCTAGGATGTGAAGAATGACAGACTGCCATTGACAACTGAAATGGGAGTGGGAATTCAGGGAGGTAGAATGTAATTAACCAACATGGAATTTGGCCAGGACACCAAGCCAAACACCCCCAGTCTTGTCAAGAACAAGATGTACAGAGAAAGTGTATGTGTACAAAAGGACATTGAAAACTGGATTCAACTTCCAAAGCTGTCAGATGCTCACCAGACAGATTGGAACTAAGTAGAAAGAAGTATGGCTATGTCTACACAGCCCCGCAGTTTGCACGATGAGGGTGTGAATTGAAGCACACTCTTGTGTGTTCTGCTTTAACTTCTCCATATGGATGCTGCAGGCGTGAACTAACTACTTCACATTAACATAGTCCTCTTTAAACAGGACTAAATTAGTACAAACTAGGTACCTTTTAGATTGCACCCACAGGATCCACACAGGGGAGTTACAGCATAGCACACAAGTGTGTGCTGCAATTCACAGCCCCATAGTCGAAACTGTGGGGCCATGTAGACAAGCCCTGTGTCTCATTGGCTTTAGTGTGCACAATTCCAAGCTAGAGACTTGAAAGCAAGTCTTGGAAGGAGACTGCCTGCCTGATCCAGTCTTGTCTCTGGATTTTCTATTATTATGTATAGGGATGCATAGCATTTTACAAAAAATAAGAAAAGTCTCTTCCCCAAGGAGTTTACAATCTAAATAAGAGCTCATAATCTAGAAGGCTCTTGTAGCCAGAAATGCTAGCGTGTCAGACTTTCCAGGTGCCTGTTGAACTCATCACCAGAAGGTTGGTTTGTTTTCTTATCAAACCTCTGTTTCTGGAACACTTACTGCTGTCAGGTCTAGGAGGCTGAGTTGTCTTCTAAAGCAGAAGGTATATTTATCTCCATTTCCCTTCCACCTTTCTTCACAGGCCAGTGGTAAAATCTTTGAAGGAAACTGGGCGGGTAGAGCCAGAGCTGTTTGAAGCAGTCACCATCTACTTCAGCGACATTGTCGGCTTCACCACGCTATGCCAATACAGCACCCCCATGGAAGTGGTGGACATGCTCAATGACATCTATAAGAACTTTGACCACATTCTTGACCATCACGATGTTTACAAGGTGAACAGAGCCTCACTTACACTTAAATAATAATCAGGGTACATAAAACATCACAGACAGAGTAATTGGGAATAGAATTTGGTAACAAAGGCTCAAAACCAGTATGCTAAGTAAAGACAAATGAGAGAAGTACAGGCCAAGATTACGTCTCTCTAATGTGCTTCACATAGCTCTCTGTAAATGGTTTTTGATACAAAGTGGTCACAGATTCATTACCTAGAATGCTGTGTACTGAGCACTTCACTACCAGAAAGATGTCATCTAATTGGAAGGAATTTGGCAACCCTTCACTTTCAAAGAAGAGATCAACAAGATGACTCTAAGAGGCCTTCTCCATCTGCAATTTATATAGGGTGACCAGATGTCCCAATTTTATAGGGACAGTCTCGATTTTGGGGGCTTTTTCTTATATAGGCTCCTATTACCCCCCACCCTCTGTCCCGATTTTTCACCCTTGCTGTCTGGTCACCCTAAATTTATATGCATCTTCCAATAACTGGGAATGGTAACTGTTAATCATGTTTCCACAGGTGGAGACCATTGGTGATGCGTACATGGTAGTGAGTGGCTTACCAAAGAGAAACGGCAACCGCCACGCAGTGGACATCTCTATGATGGCACTGGATATCCTTAGTTTCATGGGGTCCTTTGAATTACGACATCTTCCAGGCCTGCCTGTTTGGATTCGCATAGGGATTCACTCTGGTATGGGGTCATGGCATCTGAACATGAATGACATAGCTATTCTATCTAGATCAAAAAGAAAACAATGGTTAAAAGTGCTCATGCTTCATTATTCATAAATTGATTCTCTGTGAGGACTGTGGTATAGCATGACACACAACTGGCCAGAAGCACTGTCAATCGCCTTCCTCGAAAGCATCAGGTATAAAAGACCATTGTTGGAGGAAGGGCAGTGGACTTAAATACACCATTGGCTTGCTCCCATACCATTTAACAACCCCATCTCTGTCTAGGTTGGTAGCTGAGCAAACCAACCTCTGTGACCTTATGAGATTGAGTTGGTGACATTATACCCAGCTGAGTCCTTAGAGAACTTTGCTCCCCTATTGAAAAGCAGGCCTACATTAAATGCTTTTGTGGCAAATTTTCTCACCAGGCCCACCTGAGAATCAATTTTTGAATTACTTTATTAGAGTGGCATTGTGGATAATCCAAAGAACCCAAGTACTTGGGGAAACTTTATCTTTTTATTTTTGCTTGTTTCAGTACTCTGTTGTTTATGTCCATCACCAGAGAAGGAATATAACAATTCATTTATTTGGGAAGGCCCTAAAGACATCACCAGAAACTTCTCCATAATTAAGTTAATTCTTTCCATCCCCTGCTTCCAGAGCTGACACTTAGGAATTATGCTAATACTTCTGCATTTTTGTCTGTACAGAAATATATTCAAATAGTACTTTTAATATATTTAATACATTTAATATATTTTACAAGCTGAACAGAGACAGGCCTGGTCTACACTTGGATGTGAGACCTCCAGACACTGTACAAAGTGATGTAGATAGTGCTTTCAGTCAGTGATGACCCCAATGCCCCTGCTCTGCTACTAGAAGTGCCATCTTCCAGATGAGACCACTCACCCACCCAAGGACACTAACAGATAACACCCAAAGTTCTGTTGGCATCACGCTAATTCCTAAGTTTCAGTTTCTTTCTGGCATGTCTGAGACCTCAAGGGCTTCTCTGAATCCCCATGGAATAACAGCCTCTCTGTCTTCCTCTTTCTCTGCCCTGTCCTCTGCTTTCAGGTCCATGTGCTGCTGGTGTGGTTGGGATTAAGATGCCTCGTTATTGTTTATTTGGAGACACAGTTAACACAGCTTCAAGGATGGAATCCACAGGTTTACGTAAGAATTGAAGCTCACCTCTCTGTGTAATCTGGCAGTAGGCTAGTTGTGCGCTCAAATCTAGAGTTCCTTCTCCAGCCAAGAACAACTTTATCATCAAAGCGTAGACATTTAAAGATAGAAGATCAAATTGTCCATTCCTCCACTCCACCCTGGAAAATGCAGGCCTATTCCTAGTTCTTGCTTCCTAGTTGATGAAGGGGGTAGGTGCCTGGTTGGCTCAGTTCCTGTGGAACTGGTGATTTTAATGCTGCTGAGATTAAATTTAATTGTATTTATTATATAATTGATTATGTTTGGGCGCCTGGTGACTTGGATAGGCATCGTTATTATATTAAATATAAATAAATAAATATCCCACAGTCTAATAGTTTTGCAACTAGGAATGTTTCCTGAGAGCCAGCCTAAATTTTCTTCCCTTTGCTCAGTTTCTTCCCATTCCTTCCCCTTTGTGATATTTACCCTTCCCCCACAAATACTGTTATCACTTCTATCCTGAGGCATTGGTTGGTCCAGCTATAATTATTTAGTTGTTTTAGACTTTCCTCATATATAATGCTATGTGATGGAGTAGTTATTTTTGGGTTCAACAATATATGGGTAGCTTTAATGTCATTTCCTCACAGAATGAGTCCTAAGACATCAATGACAATTAGATACACCTCTGCCATAGCACAGGTTTTCACAGAAAATGAACATGTTCATGCATTGTTTCCGAATCAAACATTTGTTGCTTGTTTGTTTATGTTTAGCTTTACGGATTCATGTAAGTGGGTCTACTATCGCCATCCTGAAGAAGACAGACTGCCATTTCCAGTATAAAGTGAGAGGAAAGACTTACCTGAAGGTAACATATACCATGCCTACAAACACACAGGAGTGAAACTTATCTAAAGGTATCATACACCTGAGATGTTCACCTATCTTAGACAAACAGCAGGAGACAAAGAGAGACATATCTGTTGGTAATACAGGCACAGAGTGATGGAGACACCACTCTAGAGTTAATATAGCCATTGAAAAAGCATTTGAAGCATAAGTCAAGGCAACACAGATGTCCGGGAAGTACTGTAGGTGAAACATATCATTGGTAATAAAAATTTGGAGAGGAGGCAGTGATGAATGGGCCTGGTGGGAGAGGACTATTAATTTGCTCACCTTTGCTTTGTTACATTTATTTGTTTCAGTTTATAAAATTTGATAGATGCCCATCCTATGCTCTGGGTGCCTATTACATACAGTAAGCAAAGACAATACAACAATCATATAATACAGTATAACATAAAATATATAAATCATATATTGTGCCTATCTAATCCCTAAATTGTGCTTCTTTCTTCTCTGACAAATTAGGGCAAAGGAACTGAGATTACCTACTGGCTGACGGGGGTGAAGGACCAGCAGTATAATCTCCCAACACCTCCTTCTGTGTAAGATGTTCTTTATTTGTGGGAAGGGAGAAAGAAGCTCTCAGGCCTTGCACTTCAGCCTTCACCAAAAGTGCTGAAGTGCACTTCTCCCCTCAGAATTTTTAACTTACTATACTTTTTGGTATTCCTTGGGCTCATGTCAAGGACATAGGTGCTAACTTTCTCCGGCGCCGGTGGGTGCCCACGCCCCTCCTCCCCCGGCCCTGCCCAGACTCCACCCTTTCCCCGCCCCTGGCCCCGCCCCCATTCCAACCCCATCCCTATCCCCAAAGTCCCCGCCCTAACTCCGTCCTCTCCCTGCCCCTATTGGATCCCTTCCCCAAATCCCCGCCCCGGCCCCGCCTCTTCTCCCAGCACGCTGCATTCCCCCTCCTCCCCCCTCCCTCCCTCCCTGCCCAGCGAATCAGCTGTTTCACAGCGCAAGTGCTGGGAGGGAGGGGGGAGAAGCAGGACGCGGCAGCGCGCTCCGGGGAGGAGGCGGAGGTAAGCTGGAGCGGGGGGGCGGGGAGCTGCCGGTGGGTGCTGAGCACCCACCAATTTTTTTCTGTGGGTGCTCCAGCCCCGGAGCACCTACGGAGTCGGCGCCTATGGTCAAGGACAGAGCAGTGTATGTGCATATGAACACATGCAAATATACATAGCTGTGATGGGGCAAGGCCAGATGGCTATAGGAAAGTAGTGAGAAACAGGTATGTTAGCCCCAGGCTAAACAAATCCCTGTTACCATGGTAACCAAATGGCAGTTGCTCCAGGTTTATCAAGACACCTGGAGCCAATTAAGATCCTTCCAGAAAGCAGTGGAGACAGCTAGGTTGATTGGGACACCTGAAGCCAATCAGGGGCTGGCTGAAACTAGTTAAAAGCCTCCCAGTTAGTCAGGTGGGTGTGCATATCAGGAGCTGTGGGAGGAATCTGCGCTGTTGGAGAGACTGAGCAGTACACCCCATATCAGGCACAAGGAAGGAGGCCCTGAGGTAAGGGTGAAGTGGGGGCTGCTGTGGGGGAGTAGCCCAGGGAATTGTACGTGTCCTGTTTCTAAAAGGTCAGCTACCATAGCTGATACTATTAGGGTCCCTGGGCTGGAGCCTGGAGTAGAGGGTGGGCCTGGGCTCCCCCTTTTGCCCCCCCCCCTGATTAATCACTGAGACTGGGAGACAACAGATCCTGTGCAAGGGAGGATAGCTTCTCCTCACCTCCCTTGCTGGCTTATGATGAAAATGGCTCAGTAGGCTGTGATCCTTGCCTCTTGAGAGAGAAGGGCTACGTGGAGGGTCACAGTGAGGCTCGTGAAATCCGCCAGGAAACGCGGGACCCCCGGAGACAAGGACAGAGCTTTGTATGTGTATATGAACACATGCAAGTATACATAATAGCATTAGTTCTGGGATTGCTAATAGGCTTACATACTTTACTGGATCAGGGCCTTGGATGGGAGACATTCAAGGAAAATGCACCAGAAAGGGGTGTTGATTTAGTAGGTGCAGGTTCAGATTGGGGGAGGGGGGGGAACGAGTGGTGGTACTCTCCCAAACTTTACCCCCGTCCGAGCTCCAATCACTTTTAACACTAAAATGAGATGCCAATCACAATAGAATGTGCAGATTTCATTATGTAATTTCCCTTCTTTTTTTCTTGTATGATTTGATCAATAGTGAAACAGTTAATAACATTAACATTAAACTGTCATCACCAACCTTCAGACTCTATACCAAAATGAGATGAACGAGAGCAGTTCACACCTCTTAGTTACCATTTTAGGTTGTCTGCAGACTCAGGCACCTCTTTGTTTATATTGGGTTCTCATTTTGAAGATTAACTTCACAAGCATAAGATCTAGAACAGTGGTCCCCAACCTCTTTCGTCTGGCGGATGCCAGATGACGAGCCACGGAGGACCGTGGCGGCGGACGAGCATCCGCCAAAATGCCGATGACAAGCGGCAACGTCAATAGGCGTCGCCGCCAAAATGCCGCCGAGAAGCAGTGTCATCCAGAGGCGTCGCCGCCGATTTTCGGCATTTCGGCGGCGACGCCTCTGGATGACGCTGCTTCTCGGCGGCATTTCGGCAGATGCTCATCCACCGGCCAGTATGCGGGTGCACTTAGATGCTCCGGCGGGCACCGTGTTGGGGACCCCTGGTCTAGAGACTTAATTTTTAAAAACTTCTAAACAAAACTTCAGTTTCTGGAGCATAAGGGAGGAGTTACCAGGAAAAAATACTAGGTTGATGTCCTGGTTTAATCAGACCCAAGTAGATAAAAGTCTTCCTTTTGAATTAACACTGAGTCAGTTTCCAAAGTCAAGGGGTGTGGTGACAATGAAGTGCTGCCTTTCAGAAGTGACATAAAACTGAGTTCCTGACCACTTGTGGTAATTTAAGATGTACTTTGCTTAATACAAAGGGCATTAGTTCCGGTGACATGATCAAATTCAAGTATGGCTGATTACGTTTTTCCAAATAGTTTCAGTGAGATATGGAGTTCTTCTTCACTTCCTCTCCTAACCCGTTGTGTAGTGTTGCTGTGTACTATTTACGCAGCTGTTGTGATCCACCTCAGAAGTGACTGAGTTTCAATACAGATTGAAGTAATTCCTTTACATACTGTATATGGTAGTTTGTAAATTAGCAATTTAAGATCTCTGATTAGCTATGTCATTTAAATCAACTGGTATTGTTTTTGTTCCCTTTTTGGGGAACAGGTGAATGTTTGTACAACAAATCTCTCAAGAGTGCATGGGATTTTAAACTATCCAGAAAACTTGATGCTCTCTGGTCTGGAAAGACCCTAACAAAAATTACCTCTTACCCCCTGAGAGAAGGGCAGTCTCTTCTGCTTTAGGTAGATATGAATGAATGGGCAGAGTGTTGAACTTGTGCAATGGGACATGACCTAATTCTCAAAACTTTTGCAATAAAAATAATAATTAATACTATCTTACATTTATTTAGTGCCTTTCACCCCAAAAGATCCCATCTGTGGGCTTAGGAAGTGATATTGCTGGCCTACTTTCTTCAGTACATTTCTTTTCTAACTAGGCACTTTTTTTAACCTAAAGAAATTTTTAAAAGAGCAATAGAGAGAATCGTCTTTAGGGTTTTGGCACTCCCTCTGAAGGTGTGTTTGAAGGTGTCCCTCAGACCCTACCCATTGCTATCTGTGATGTTTATGTCTTCACTCTGTGATATGGCACCAGTCTGATATATATATGGGAATTTTTTAATTGTTCTGCATGGGACATACCTGTGAAAATCATATATGTCCCATGAATTTCTGGCAGAGTGGCAATTCTAAGAAAACTGCCACTATTTTGAGAGACACCTGCAGCTGAATATTACAGGTACTTGAAACTGGGTCTGGTCATAGAGTCAGAGCCATAGTCCATTTCAACTGGGTTTGTGAATCCAGTTCAGGTTTTTCTTCTCTTCATTCCAAGTGATTTCACAGACTCTACAGATGGGAGATTGTGATGCTAAAGCAAACTTCTTTGGCAGAGACAGTAACCCATATTGTCAGGAACAGTCACAAGTAGATCCTGAACTGGATTTCTATGTCCACTTGGAATTGATTCTGCTCACAATCTATCTCATTAGTATATTGAGGGCTTCTGGAAAGATGGTAGGATAGAATTGTCTAAAAATGGCTTGTGAACTGAGGATCCTAGTTACCTGTACTGCATGAGTCACTGAAATCTTTCCTCTCCTGCTATTTCCAGGGAGAATCAGCAGCGGTTGCAAGATGACTTAGCAGGGATGATAACAGAGTCTCTGGAGAAAAGGCAATCTGAAGGGGTCCTGGTGCGTGAGCCTTCCCGGGTGGCCAGCTACCGAAAAGGCACCCTAGAGTACCTGCAGTTGGCCACCACAGAAAACTACAGCACCTATCTGTAAAACTGGATATCTAGTGTGACATAAAAACCATGAACAGGCTTTGGAAGATACTACACAGAGGCTGGAGACTGGCACTCTGAGGGAGAGCTGGGGGAAAAAACAAGACTGTTCTCTCTTTGGGAAATGTCTCTACCACTTGGCTTTTTAATCAGTGAATCAGATAGACCCTTTGCTGTAGTGCCAAAATGTAGTTGCCTCCATGCTTGCTGCATCTTCCCAATCACCTGATTGCTTAACCCAGGCACATCCACCCTGATTTGGGGAAAGAGAAAATATCCATTTGAGACTGAAAGATATTGTCTAATATTTTTTAAATGTGATCAGCTGTTCAATGACCCATTTCCCAAAGTCTTCTCTGTAGAGTCTTAATTTATCGGGATTTTAAACTTAGTGTTTAACTTGTAATTTTTTATTTGAAAACAAGTGCATTTATATATTTTTGAAAATATTTAAAATGTATGTAGCTATGGACCTGGATATTTTGCAATTTTGTTTCTTTTGTAATTTCCCCACTGTATATTCTCAAGTGTTTTATTTAGTCAAATTAATCTAGCTCAAAAAATGGTGCCTCCACTGTTTCTCTAGGGATCTTAGTCCAAAGTTTCGATGGTTTCTGAAGCATATCTGAATCTCTTGGGTCTACAGAATTAAGTTGGAAATCTTGCAAAAATTGGCTCTGTCATAATATTTCTCTACTTCTGCTTCTGGCCCCAAAACCAGAAGCACATAGACCACTGCAAAAATTAAAAATAAAACATAACGGAACATAACATAACTCAAAGAGTTTCATTTCAACTTTTGGGTGAAGTTTCATGGGTGAGCATTTTGTTTGGATTTTATCTGAGCTGGCTCAACCATATGCTAAAATCAACACTTACTATCAATTATCCACTTTAGCAAAGAGCCAAAGTACAGATGTGTAACAGAGGAGACAACTGGCATTTCACTGAAGAAATAATCACTAGCAAGCAAGATTTTGGCCAATGACTTTCTCTGCATAAGTGGCTTTCAAACTGTGGTCCACGGACTTGTAAATGTCCTGTACGCAAATAGTGGTCTGCAGGGTTGTTTCTGAACAGTGGTGAAGCATTGGTCAGTATTCAAAGAATGAAGCTTACTGCTTCAGCTGTCATTCAGTCTAGCACTCTTATGGTTTCCAGAAACTTCTTTGACTAAGTAAATGCTTAATAAAACAATAACACAAGTGCCAAACTTGTTCCTTGAGCAGCTGCTTGGTGTCTTTCTTGATCATGTATTTCTCTGATTTAAATCCAACAGTGATTTTTTTAAAACATAAAAATTGAAGGAGGAGCAAACATACATTAGGACAGAATTGAAGTGCTAAGTTTCCTGGAAAAATGAGAGCAGTAGCCGGGGCTGCAGGCATCAAGGGACCAGTATTAATGTAAAATCCTACACTCAGGAAGAAGAAATAAACACCACAGAAACAACTTCGGTATATAACCAAGCAACCATATGGGCCAGATTGAACTAAATCAATTGTAATATTGTATTCTGACTACTAGTTTAAAATTACTTTTCTTCCCTGTATTATAGCATTATAGTTACTACAGGGAATGGGGAGGACTTGGATGAGAATGGAAGAAGACAGTAGGAGTGCCAAAAGATGGCTTGTCTTTAGAAGTGGTCCATAGTACCAAAATAATAAAAATAAAAATTGAGAACCATTGCCCTACACTTCTGTTTGGCTCTTTATTAAATTAGTTTTAAGTGGGTGAGCAAAGTGGTATGCTCCCTTACTTTAGCGTAGTAGTTTAAATGCCCTGTCTTTCTAAGCTGGATCTTTTTCAGTCTTGAAATATTAACAAAGATAATTACAACACATCCTCCATCCCCTGTCCCGATTTTGCTGCCTGTCCACAGATCTTCATGTGCATGTCTGCACTCCCTGAATGTCCACACATTTCTGCAAGCTGGTATAATATACTGGCTATCTGGCACCACTCTACTTGGTGGAATAGTTGACCTGCTTAAGTCTGTATAACCAAATCACACCCTAGTGACTAGATCACTCAGCACAGAAAAGGTCTAATGTTATTATACTAAACAGAGATTCTCCCTTAACTCAAGTGGCAACGGACTATGTTTTTGGAGATAAATATTATGGGTTCCATCCCCGATGCCTTTCATGTACAGGTTAGCACAGACCCCATATGTGCAGCCACCAATGTATTACATTTACAGTCCCTGAATACAGTTTTTATTAGACCTCTCCTCTCATGCATGGTTGGGGTCATTAATTCCTGCATAAGTCCTTTGATTTAAATAGTTACACCATGCATGAATGGCATGTGTTACTGTGAGTCTCCTGTCCACATATTCCAGTCCTGTGCATTTCCTTTCCACATATATCATGTCAAATTCATATTCATTTACCCTCACTTAAAAATATGCACTCTGTTTCCAATTTGAGTTTGTCTAGCTTCAACTTCCAACCATTGGATCTTGTTATGTCTTTGTCTGCTAGATCAAAGTGCCCTCTACTATCAGAAATCTTCTCCCCTTCTGCTATTTCAATCCCAATTTTCTCCTGCTTGTTTTAAAATCAAGCTGCAAGGCATTGCATTCCAAATGGCTTAGTGAGACATACTTCTGCCCCCAACTGGAGAAGATTTTATTTGCACCTTTCACTTGCTCATTTTAAGTCATCTCACCAAATATAACTTAAAGCTGTCTTTGATCAGAGTGAGAGCCTTGTGTTTTGGTTAATGAGCATCTATGTTTCCTCCTATTGAGTTTGTACATCTGCACTTCCTGTTCATAACCGCACTGCTTGTCTGTATTCCCTTTCCGTTTGTGCATGTGCCTGCAATCCCGTTGGCCATGTGCATCTCTGCATACATTCTGTGTTATGGCATATCTTCATGGATTGAAGATAGTCTGTGGTGGTGGTATGTAGCTCTATAGGTAATTGATTCCAAACATATCTCAGCACAACTAATGTTAGAACACAGTGGCTTCTTAAACATAATACCTTGCTATGGGTTTGATTAGAGTAAATGAGGAACAAATGAATATCCTGCACCCAAGGCAGCACTACAGGATCTTCACTTGGAGATGCTAGAAAATATAGGGAAACCAAAGGAAAGACTAAAATTTGAAATGTTTTCCTTGTTAATAGAACTGCAATAACCTCTTGTGTGACAATCTGAGAGGAATGCAGAGAGAGGTGTTGAAATGAAAGAGCAGCTAGACTCAGAGGGTCCTTTATCACCCTGACGATAGTGCCAACCATGTTTAAAAACTTTTCTGCTATGACAATCAGCTGTAAATCACATATTGGAGCTAAATATAGATATATATTTAACTCATTTCAATATCCCTTCCTTGCCAGTAATGTCAAATGGAGAGAGCATGTGATAAAAGTGAATTTTATGAAGCATGTTTCATAAATGAAAAATCATGAAATATTTCTTTTCAGGCAAACCTAACACTTATGCATTCAGCCTTAGACATTAGAACTCATTTTATTGAAGGAGGAATAGTTAGCCACCGCACTGGGGTTTATCCTCACCTCTTTTTAAGAAGTACCCTGGGACCTTTACTTTTCAACTAGAATAGCAACAAGAACAAAACAGTTTTGCACAAGGATGGTATATTTAGTAGTGCTGCATCCCTGCTACTGCTACAGCACTGCAATATGAGCTTTGGGCATGAGCCAAAGCCTTGGCGTGTGACTTGAACGAGAGATCATCTGATATGAAAGAGCTACCACACAAACTACAGTGACAGCCTTTAAAAGAGTCCTGGTAAGAATGGCAATACTGGTTCAGACCAATGGTCCATCTAGTGGCCAGTGCCAGATGCTTCAGACGGAGTGAACAGAACAGGGCAATTTAT